GCGCTCCCGCCGCCCGCGGCTGCCGGACGGGGCGGGCGAGGCGCTGCTGCCGAGGCGGGAGCGATGTGCCATGCCGCCGGGAGCGATGGGCGATGCCCGCCCGGAGCCCCTGCGGAGCCCGTCCGGGTCCGGCACAGCGCGTTCAGTGCCCGCCCAGCGCCCCTCGCCCGCCGCCGCCCCACCTGCGCCCGGCGAGCGCTTCTCGGCGGCTGCCCGGGGTGGCTGTGGCTGACCCGGGTCTCCGGAGCGCCGGGATGAGACACCCGGGGGCTGACCCGGTTCTGGTGTCCGGCTTGTCCTGCCGTGGAGCTCTTCCTTCACCCAGGGAAGTGGTGCATCACCTTTGCCCGACCCGGTTGTGCATCCCCGAGGAAAAGGGGTTAATTGGTCTGCTGGAGAGATCCAGGGGCTGCAAGGGTGGCCGGAGAGCTGCTGAGTTATTCCTGGCTGTGGAACGGCCCCCCGGGGGCTGCTGCAGCCAAACGATGGGGCCAAACCCAAACGAGGGCAGCCCGAGGCCAATTTACATGAGAAGCTAAGCAAGTCGCCAGCAGAGCAGTGGTGGCACAAGGCCATCTTTGGCCCCTTTCCTTCATGCATGAGCCAAGCAGAGCTTAGGAGGAACAGAAAATTTAGGTCAGTGAATAGATTCAGCTAAAAGAAAGAAAAGAAAAAAAAAGGGAAAATCTTGAAGTAGAGATTAAGAGTAACTCTTTCATTATGCAAATACACAGTTGTCACTTCTGCCCCGATGATGTCAACTTCTGCACCATAAGTGAATTTCTTGTCAAAGACCTGTGCCTTATGGGCACCTGGTAATCTCTGGTACTTTCTCTGGACATGCAGCCACAGTAATTGAGGACCTTCCCAAAGAAAGGTGGAAGGTGCAGCTTGCTGGAGGCTCCAGGCAGAAACCACTGGCATAGCAGTAACAAGCACTGTGCTTTGGATGTTGGAACGCCTTCTGTGAAGTTGTGGCTGGCTTCTTTCAGCTTTGTGCTGGTTACTTGTTTCAGCCAAGTTCCTTCAACCCTGTGCAGCTCCTCACTTGCACTTTCACACCCTATTTTTGATTCACCTGATCTGTCCTTTCTCTTTCCTTCTTCTTTATGTGGTTTACGATCTGCTCAGAGATATTTGCTTTCACCCCCTGATTTTGGTTCCTTCACTTCAGTGCCATTTTGCCATATTTCCGTTCCAGATACGCCACATACGTTCCAAATCCCTCACATTGCAAATGCCCTGCAAATGCCATTTGCAGGCCATTTCCACATTTTCAGTTTCAGCATTGAAAATGTGGATATGCCCTGCAAATGGCTAAGACATCTTCATGTGTTATTTTTTGTCATAAACTGGCTTCTGTTGGTGCCCATTGATAGGGTTGAGAGTATAGCTGAAGATTTTCCAGCAGAATTTCTGTTGGTTCTAGAAAAGTGTATTCCCTAAATGCTTTTTTAAGTTAAAATTTGGGAGTTTTATTTTTAATTCTGACATAATTTATTTGACATTTTTGGGGTGCTTGCTTCATCTATTCAGTCTTCTTTTCAAATTAAAAAGGCTCTCTCATTTTGAGAACCTCAGCAAAGGGAACGGGATCTCTGCCAGTTTCAGCACCAAAGAATTAAAGAAAAATACAGATTTTATATGCAAATGAACTGAATTAGCAACATTTTTCTACATAAGAGTCAAAAGAAAGTCAGTAATGACATGCCAAGAAGCACCTTCTGTGCTCTGTGAGGCTTCTGGTGAAATAAAGAGAGCTTAGCAAATGCCACAGAGCAATCGAGCAAGAAATGAGGATGACACTTTCTGCTGTACTTCTTTTGTAAGAGTGTTAAACCACCAAAGCCAAAGGGAGAGGTGCATTGAAAAAAACACATCCTTCTTGTAGCTGCAAAGCCCCCAAATCTTAAACAGCTCGTGTACCAAAGTTTCATGCTTTCACATTGTGCTCTGTATCTTTTTCTCTCAAACAAGCACAAGTGCAGTCCTAATAAAACTGGAGGAGAAGTTGGGCTGATTCTCGGGTGTAGTTCACCTGAGTTCTGTAGTTCACAGGTTTCTCACCAGATCATTTGAGATTTTCCTTCCTCTTCAGAGCAAAAGTGGGCCTCCAGTGAGGCTTGACAAAAAATGTGAATTCCCCTCTCACTCTTCTGCATTTCTGCAGCTCCTTGGTTTGTTTGCTTTGGGCATGCTGTGCCTCCTCTCTGCTCTATAAATCTGATGCCACAAGCCAAAGACCGGGAAAAAAGTAGCGATTGTACAAGGAGAAGGGAGCTGAAGCCTTGAAACTGTTTGTTCTGTATTAGTAAATCCACCATTCTAGAACACATATTCTGGAGATGTTGTACATATTGATAAAATTTCTAGTCATAGAATAAATAGGCTTGGGAGGAACTTTAGGATCTAGTTCAACCCTTGCTCAAAGTGGCACCTATTGGTGTACTTGTTCATGTATGCTGGTTCATTTCTACTTGTTTATTTACAGATTCCCTCAGGGAATCCAGGTGCCTGGTATTCCAAGAGAACACAATAGTCTGTATTCAGTTGTTGTGTAGGGACTGGAGGCATCTCAAAACAAATGTTTTATGGATTGATCTGTCATTTGTCTTTTATACTTTTTAGTGATGTACCAGTTTTGTATGCCTTCAGGACTTTGGGATATCCATGTGGCTGCAGTTTTGTTCTCACCCAGTATTCCACATCCCTCCTGCACTGAAGGTGAGCACTGGGCTCCATGCACAACACTTGAGCTTCAGGAACAGAGTTGTATTAAATAGTGTGAACACATCAGCAGGGTTGTGCTACAGGCTTTTCACGGCTGGTTTGAGCAAACCTGTTACTAAATCCAAACTCAGTTCCTACTCTACCTATCAGTATCAGCCCTTGGTTCTTTACTGCCCAGTGCTGCTCTTCCCTCCCTGGAGAGTTTTGCTGCTACAGGTTAGCTCTGCAGTTAGCTCCTTTCCTGCCTGGATGGCTTTGTCCCAGGAATCTACACTCCTATCCAAGAGGCTCTGGGTTTACAGCCTAGCCCTGCAGTCAGTTCACTTTTGATGGGCAGCTGGCTCTGGGGCATTTGGCAGAAAGGAATGAATTAGGCTGAGCTGTTTCATGCCCACATCAGAAAATAAGTATTTATATTTCCAGTATTCTCTGTTGAGGGTTCTTTGTGGGGGCAGGAGGGGTGGGGGCTGGATGGAATTATCACTGCACTGCACAGACCATGCTAGTAGCCAATATTTGGAATAGTCTGACCAGTAGTCATGCAGTGGAGGCAGCCCCAAGGGCTTCATAGCATTGTTATTTGGGAGCCAAATTGTCCCAGCAGTTTCTGGTTGCTCAATATATTCTGGTTTCTTACCATAAGTTTTTTTTTTTTTATTTCTCAGGTTGAGCTACCCTGTTCTGTACGGACTCCACTTATAAAGCTTCACCAAAAGGTTTTGTGGTTTTTGTTCCATAACGATCATTTGGCAGTGATATGCACACCTGTTTTGAAAACAAAATGTTCTTGGCATTGCACAACAGAATCTCTTCTCCTGAGTCAACCTGTAACTTGTTGATTATACAAATACAATTTCTGCATAACCTAAGTTTTGGTGCATGCATTGCCATTTCATCACAGTGATAATTACACATCAGAAAAATACAGGGCTGCACTGAATTACTTTTTGCTTCAAGAGCACACTGAATTTTTGTCCACTACTCAGATTGATAAAATTTGGGAATTTAACATAGGAGTTTAATTTCCTTGAGACTCTGTCTTAATTACCAAATATATTAGAAATTGGCCAACATGAGAAATTATAGGATAGTGGAAAATGCTGAATAGGTACCTGGACAGTCATACATGTGTCTTCCTTAAGAGACAAGACTAGAGGTTTTTGGGGTTTGTTTGTTGTTTTGTGGCAACTTGGAGATTTTTGTAACAAAATACTGAAAGCATGGGTAGATATACCCATTGCTTACAGAATTGATTTTTATTACAAAATGTCAAATTTTCCATTTGGAGAGGTAGGATGATTTTAGTAAGGGTTTCAGCTTAGGTAGAAACATAACAGCTGTTGCAGAGTCTCCGAAGAGAATATTGCATTTTTCACTATCTTTATGTAGAACTACCTGTGATGAGTGAATCACTCTTCAGCTGTTCACAAATGCCAGGGCTTCCTGCCTGAGCAGGAAGTTTGAAATTTAGAGTTTTGGCTTAGCTGGTAAAACTCTAACTTTAAAATAGCAGTAGCTTGACCCTATCTGGAACTTCTTTCCATAGGCTTTGTTATCCCTGGTTTTCCTTCCCTTGCCTTGAGCGTGTTCAGATTAACAGGATGGTGGAACTTTTCTCAGACATGTCACAATTAACAGTTTCTTTGTCCAGCAGGTTATCCCATTTTTTTTATGTTCAAAGTGATTTCTACTGAACACAAGTACTCTTGTCTGCTTGGAGAGCAGTCATTCATCTGCAGTTCTCTGCATGGCTCTGGCATTGTCTGATAGAGTAAGGAAGCAAAGAATCCCACTGGGCACTCTACTGTTGATATTTAAACCAAATACTTCTTTTTGTCTCATTAATTAGTCTGTCAGTACAGAATATATTGTAAATTCTAAATTTCCTTAAGTGCATCTTTTCTACAATAGGTGTCAGTGTGTTAGCCAAGATTTTAATTGTAACATTTTTGTCACAGCCGGAATTTGGAAGCATTTCAAAGTACAGGAACAAAAAATCAATATCGGAAGTCAACTAGTACATTTTGCTATTGCCTTGGTGTTAGCTGATCTCAATAATTGCTGTGATGGAAATAATAGACTTGTATT